TATATTAGATTACTCTTGGTGCTTTTTGATATTTATTTATGTGAATATGTTTAGATTTTTGATCACAATCAGTAATGTAGAATAGTTTTTTATCAGTTGTAATGATTTTTTTCAGTTTTTCTTAATAAATCTGTAAAGTTTTTTTGATTTGGTAAACCTTTTATCGGTTGCTCAATGTAATAATGCATGTAAAAATAATTTTGAAACTTTTTTTAAATTAAACATTTTATTGATGTAACATTTAATTGACTTTCTTGATATCTTAAACTTTTCTAGATAACTCAGAAATAATTGCTGGTTTGTCTTTTTATTAATAAGTTTTTTATCTGAAAAATTTGACATAAATTTTGCTTTAATGGTCGATGCCAACGTTTAGCTTTTTTGCCATTTAAATCATCTTTTATTTTATTTCTCGCCACATTTTTTTTAATTTTACTAATGGTGGTTAATAAAACTTAGATTGATTCTTTTTCTAAAAATTTCTTTATCATTCTATACGAATATCCAAGTTGTATCAACAATAAAATACGTCCTTTAATATTTTTTTGATTTTTTTTTTTGTCAAAATGCTTTGTTTACATAAATCTTTTTTTCTGCTAACTACTTTAAATATGTGATTAAATTATATAAATAATATTGTTAAATATTGTTTCAATAAAAAGTAATCAAGTTTTAAAAGTGTTTCCATTTCTATGTCACAAGACTGTATATGAATTTCATCTTAATATATACTTATCTATCTATATCTATCAATATATATATATATATATATATATATATATATATATATATATATATATATATATATATATATTATATATTTTATATAAATGTATATAAAATAAATTACATATATAATATATATATATAAAAGAAGGAAAACTTCCATTCAATTTTGTTAAATGAGTACTTTCCGTACAAATAACGAAAAGATTTCCGTAAAAGCACGGAAATTTTTAACAGTGCATTGGCTATTTTAAAATGGCATCATGTAAAAGTTTTTTAATATTTATCAACGTTAACAATTTGTGTGTATTTTACACTATATAATTAGATATTTTTTAAAGAGAATTTTTAGTTTTGTATTTTTTTTATTTTGTAACTTTGTTGTGATTTGCTACATTTTAGAGTGTTGTTTAATATAGACTATATCTCTATTTGAAAAATTTCTAATTATATAATGTAAAATACAATCAGGTTAATAAAGGTTATTTTAAAGCTAGCATTAACTAGTACTACAACTAGCGTTACCACTAAATGTTTAATGAGCTTCTCTGACTATTACCCAAAATTAAATAAGGGATTTTATATCAAAATTTTCTTTCTCCTTAATAATTTGTCTTCACCACAACTAAATGTTTTTTCTTATCTCTACATAAGAATTTTTTTATATCAAATTTTTACATTTTTTGTTTTTTACAGAAAGTATTTAATAACTTTATAGTTTTATAATTTTATCACAACAACAATGTCCATTTGGATTCACTGATTCAATTTGTTATTAAATTACATTCTCATACTTGAAATAGTTATTACAAATTTGGGGTATTTTTTGAGGTACAGTTTTCTAAAGAATTTTTTTTTAAATTATAACTCAATGGTTAGTTGCTGGTTGCGACTTGTTTTGATCGAGATGTTGTTTTACGGTATAAGCAAAAGGTTGTCTTTTTATTTTCTATTTTGAATCTATCAATAAAATTTTACTGGTTTAGAAAACTGCAATCATCCATTCTGCTTATCATGCATTCGTAAGTGGCGTTGTTCGTACAACCAACAACAAAGTGTAGTGAGGTTTCTTCTTTTTAAATGTGCAAGTTACCATAATGTTTAAAATGTTGTGATGTAATACATTTTTTTAATGCTTTTTTAATTTCTTTTTTTTTTTAACTTATTTTTTATGATTTTGTAATTTTTCTTCTAAGGAGCTGTCCTATATGTAGAGTTACATCTTGGTTTGTTATTCCTGTAAGATTTTAACTATAGTTTTTTTCAAGGTTTTTAAGTTTCACATGTGCATAAGACCTTCCTAAGGAAGACTTTATTTACACTTTCATTAATACACTAAGTCTTATATACTTTTTCAGGCAGACAAACTTGAGTCTTTATGTGCTTATAAGTTTTATAGAGTGAAATTTGGATTCAAGATGAAATAGAAAAAAAAGAATTATGTGTTTAAGTTTTTTAGAGTGAATTTTGGATTCAAGATGAAATAGAGAAAAAAGAATTAATTGGAAACTATAAAGCCTATCTAAGGTAATTTAAATTCTTTTGATGTTTTCAAACACTTTTTTTTGTATTTAGTTATTAAATTATTAAAATAAATTAGAAAATGGTTTAGTCAATGCTGATGCATCAGCCAATTCTGATTAATCAACAGATACTATCAGCTCATTGATGAGCTGATTAATTGGCTGATGGTTACTGATAATCTAAATATTTATTAGTATTTTAAATTTAAGTTTACTGATGTATAAGTAGATTTTATATATTTATTTTACATCCTTGATATTATTATATTAATCTTAAATATATATATATATATATATATATATATATATATATATATATATATATATATATATATATATATATATATATATATATATATATATATATATATTTATGCATACATACATACATGCATACATACATACATACATACATACATACATACATACATACATACATACATACATACATACATAAGAACCTATTATTAACCACAATCAGCCATTGTCATCACTCTTCATAATGTTTTTCCTTCGTTTATTATTTAAAAAAGATATCATTGTTTGAGTTTTCTATTTCTCAAATATTGATAAATTTTACAAATAAGAAGAACAAAAAGTAAGAGCTATGTACAGAATAATTAATACAGAAAATAGAAAAAGGCAATTGTTAAATTAAATGCAATAGTTATTAGCAGCTTTTGCTAAAAGCATTCTCTTAAAAGCTCCTTTACAGCATGTTAGGGGATTAGTTAAACAAAAAAAGGATTGTATTAACAATTTTTTTTTTTTTGTTTAAACCAATTAAATTAGTTGAATTAACTAAACAACTGATTTTGATTTCTTTTACCTCGAAAACAGGCAGATTTGACTCCTTTTTCACCTCAGCTGCTAGTCCTGTCTTCACTTGCATAATTTCTGATTGATATTTAGTTTAGAGTTATAAGACAGATAAAAAAAACAAAAGATATTTTAAATTAAAAAATCCAATTAAAGAGTTTTTTAAAAAAATATATTTTTTCAAAAGGAACCTTCAGTTTTAGTCAATAATGAAGGTTGACTTTTCCCTTTCTAACCTTGAAGTGTATTCAAACATTATCTGGTTTCAAATCAGTTTGAAGTGTATACAAACATTATCTGGATTCAAAACAACTTGAAGAGTATGCAAACATTATCTGGATTCAAAACAACTTAGACACCTTGTTTATATAGTCGTTGGACTTTCTTTACTCCAAGTGACTTGATGTAAATTCATCGATCCAGGTACATCTTCTATTGTAATTGACATTTAACTTTTAACCTTTTTGATTTTATGTGCAGATTATCTGCCGTGTATTTCAGAACTCCACCAATATCATCTATTAAACGCTTCCCGTGACTGGCTTTTGAGTAATTCCAAGTTTTTTGAACATTAACATAGAAAATATTGTGACATATACCATAAGTTGAAATGATTTTCTATATTGGGCATTTGATATGAAATGAATTGTGTTAACTTTAGGCTTTTTGTCATTTAACTTATGCAAAATGAACCAAGATGAGCCCAAATAACTGATACACTTTGACAAGTTCATATGTTAGCAAAAGATTTCACGTTATTCGTTCCAATATTTATATCATATACTAAAAACATGCTTCATGAATGCAACAACTTTTTTGTTTAAATCGTTCAAAAAATCTCTCAGGCTACATGTCATTGCTGCTTTTTGTGTACTAGTAATCAAATACTAGTACACAAAATAAAGAAGGTAGATGTGTCACCAAAAATTAAAAATTAAATTAAAACTGGGATTAGCTAAATTTGCTCCTTATATGGCAAGCAATCCGCCCCTGTGGTTTAAAAAGTACACCATAGTTAACTCTAATATTAATATTCTAGTAATACATAGTAATACTCTAAAAGCGAATTTGTATGTTAAAGAATGCTTTTAGAAACGTTTTTAGAAACAAGATCCAGCAAAAATGATCTCAAATACTGACTAAAATATTCGGGTTTTATTTAAGCGTTACTAAAAAATGTAAAAAGTTATTGAAATAAATAATTGAAATTTTTTTAAACTAATGATTTTTAAAAAATTACAAAAAGTTGTTTAGTAATTTTTGAGTAATTAACAAATAAAGGAACTTATCATGAATTTTTTTTTTTAATTTATGAATTTCATATTATGTATTATATAATATATAATATTATATAATATGAATATTATCATATTTTATATTATATTTTATTGTCCGATTTTTTTTATAATATAAGAGGATTGTTTATTGTATTTTATTTTTGTTAATTTAAATTGCCAAATAAAATTGAAATAAACTTGATTTTCAGTACCATATCGTGCCGCAATTTTGATCAAGGAAGAGGATGCTGTCAGTTTGGTACAAGTTGTTTTTATAAACATGGTAATTTTTTTGCTACATGATTTTATTTTAGTTCATGCTTTTTTTAATTGAGAATTTTTTTTTTAACATTTTAACAAAAACATTTATAGCTCTACCTGATGGAACTGTTGACAAATCTAAACCAAATATTCGATATCGTGAAGATGATCAAGGTCAATCAACTGCTTTGACAAAAGTTGTGTACGTTTAATAAACATTGTTTTACTGTCTTATTGATATTTTATTGATTAATTACCTATTGATATTTTTGTATTGTTTTTAGGTAATTTGTAATGATATAGTGTTTTTTTTTTAGTCTTAGCCAGTTCTTTGATGCAAAAGAATCGCAATCGTAAGAAATAGAATATTGGACTTCGTGTACTAAATTTATATTAAGAATAGTTTTATGCATTTCTTTCTGATTTTTTATCAATTTTTCTTTGACTATTGTTGACTAAATAATGTAATAAACGTTTTCTCAAAAGTATTTATTTTTTAATTCCATAATGAATTTTTAACATAATATGCGTCATCATTGCCTATGATCCCTTGCCATCATTTAAGCAACGATCGAATTTCAATGACGTAGGATTCTTTAGGCTTTTAGTCAAAGAAGTGATTGAGGTGCTGTCGAAGTGCCTCCCTGTTGGTGCCAAGCTGTTTAGTAATATTAGGCGAATGAGGCAAGACTTTCCCTCCATGCTTCAACAACTTTTCCCACATCAATTCTGCAACAATTTTTGCCACGTCATGTTGTACAATTGTGCACTGTCGAAGCTGTATAAGAAGACGACTGTTGTTTATTTTATGTTTATCAAATTTCTTGACTCAATCTTAGGATTGAGTCAAGTTCTTTATTAAACATAAAATATTACTATAGTACTTAGAAATATTAAAGATAAAAAACCTAACTTTTTAAATCTTTTACAAATATTTTTGTTAAAAATTTTTTTGTACTTAGAATTATTAAAGATAAAAAACCTAACTTTTACAAATATTTTTGTCAATCATTTTTGTTAAAAATTTTTTTGAGATTTAATTTTTTTCTAATGTGTTCATAATGGTCCAATTTTTTTTTTTTTTTAGATTGTTGTGTATCCTGGTTTTTTCATAATTTTTTAAAATTAAAAAAAAACGCAAAATATATGCACAAAAAACTTTCTTTTTTTTTTTTTGCGTATTTGCGTAAAATTATATTTTTGTGTTCTTGCGCAAAATTATTATGGTGCAAAATCTTTTTTTTGATTTAAACAACAATTATGGCGCATTTTTCGGGGTATTTTGCCGCTTGAGCAGTTTTGAAATTTTTTTAAATTTTAAACACCCCTATTGCGCATCCTATGTTATCTCCTGGATTCAGGCAGACACGAAGCTTGTATTTCAACTCGCTGTTTACAAATTAAGCCACATTCTATTCCATGGTTTTTTTTACATTTTTGTGCAGCTGTTGCTTCTAATCGTAATAATTTCTTTCATCTTTTACACAGAACAGCTTTCTTAAAAACAAACTCTCTCTTTACTTTTTAACTAGTGAATTTTGTTTTTCTGCCTGACGAAAAATGGCATTTGTGGTTCCAATCTTTAAAGACTCCTCAAAATTTATTTAATAAATTTTTTATATCTCATCTTAATTTTAGTCAATAAACACAAACACGATTAAAAAATTTCTTTTGAGTAGTCCAAAATGCGCATTCGCAGATGTCTACATCATAAGGTTTTACTTTATTTTACTATATTTTTATTTTAAGGTTTTTTTATAATTCTTTAAGAGTTCTAACAACATTTAGAACTCTTCTAGGTAAGTTCTAGAAGAATTCTAATAACATTTTCTATTAATGATGTTTTTGAGTACGAGACGAAATATTTGGGGAAACGCGTGGTATTTTTAAAAATAGATCTGTATCACTTTTTCTAAATACAAGTATGACGTATAATTCGAAAACGTGTACAGTAAACTCCTGGTGGTTCAAACTGGCACTTATTTGAAGCAATTTTCAATCCCTGCGAATTTTCCATAACAAACTCATGCAAATATCCATCAGTTATTCTATTATTATTAGGTTCGTTTATTCGAAGTAATTTTATGCTCCCCTGGCAAGCATGTCGTCATTTATTCGATTTTTTTCGTCAGCTCAAGATACATTTGCACTGCATTTTAAAATATAACTTTATCAAATGTAATCAAATTATATGTAAGTATATCTGAGGAGCAAAAAAAGGACCTACAAAACGTGCAAAAGTCACGAGAATAAAAATTTTGAGTTTACTTCTTATCCACACACTATGTTCTAAAATTTATCATCTATTTAAATATTAGACCAATTAAAAAACCTTTGATCGTACAAATGAGCAAAGAAAATATCAATTTCTGTTGATGCGCAATTAAGAGTAGTTTAGTTTTTCTTGTTTTTTCAAAATCAGTTTACTCGGACTTCGGACTTTCTCAAAATCAGTTTACTTGGACTTCGGACTTTCTCAAAATCAGTTTACTTGGATTTATCCTCATATGTATAAAAACTAACGTTTTCAAAATATAAAAAAAGTTGAATGCATTAAACGTAGTGCAGTGAAAATTTTAACATGGCGGTCTACGCAAAAAAAGGCAGTAATCAAAGATAATAAATATCTTGCTTTTTAAAGGTTTGGAAAAAGGTCAAACTAAAAATAATTTTGTCAAAAAGTTTAGTGTTACTCAAAACACTTAAACTTACTGGAGTAAGGTAACACTAAAAAAACGAGGAAATTTTAAAAATTTTTGAGTTTTTCAATTTTGTATAAATTATGTGTAAAATTTATCAAAGAACGTTCATCCAAAGTTTCAGAGCTAAAAAAAATTATATTCTTTAAGATATACGCATTTTATTAAAACACTCAGTACCTTTTTTTCCCTTTACAACGGAGAGACTAAATGAGGAGTGGATTTGCAAAAACAGATAATTTACTTTTATTTTCATTCTGAGATAATGGCAAAATAAGTTTTCCAGAAAATAGAATAGCTAAAAATTAAAAGCTAAGCAATAGATAAAAGACAAAAATTTGAAAATCGTGCTCTTTTGATTTTATTTATATTACAAAATGAAAAATGAAAAATCGTTTTATCTGGTTTTGCATACCAATTATTTTTTAATATGGTTTTGATCAGAAATTTATTTTTAACTGGTATTCACAAAAGCTTTATGAAGTCAACATGACTAGTAACGATTTTAAAAATCAATATAATTGTGCAAAACGCCTCTCTGCTTCAGAAAATGAGAAATTTTAACATTTGATACTTTTATAGGACTGATGAAGTTAAAACTCAATTGTAACTGTTTAAGTATGGCTTTTGTGAATTTTTTTGTATATGATTTTTTTCTTAAATAACATTCTCCATTTTTATAAAACAATTCTAAAACAGAATGTTGATTAGATAAAATTTTTGTCTTATTTTTCTTAGACAATAAATTTTTTTAAAGTTGATTAAGGTGCCCCAAGAAGTCCTTACGGTCTTATCACAGAGCACCGCGGAAGATCATTTAATAGAAAGTTCACGCCTCCTTTTTTTTTTTTTTAAATTTAATATATATTTGCTGTTTATATAATAAGAAATATAATTACAAAGAAACGTTTACATACAAAAAAAGTGAATTTATAAAAAACAGGCAGGGCTCAAAGAAGATACGGATGACTAAAGTCACCACAATCTTTTCATAGAGCCCCTAGGTGGGCTTTGCAAGTTAAAAAAAAATAGTATCTCCAATATAATAAAAAGGTTAAAGCTTGCATAAATATTTGCATTAAATCAAGAAAGTAAATAACATCATATAGTTTTATCAATATTCATTAAAATATATTGGCAACTCTGTTAAATACCAAAATAAGAGCCAATTAACAAGTAAAAAAACTAAGAATAATGGAACTCAATTTTCATTTCGAAAAACCAAGAAAACTATTTATCTAATTTAAAAGTTTCATTTTTTATTAAATAAACTTAAAGGAATTTAATGATTTTACAGTACTTAAATTTTTTGTTTTTTGAAAAGTGTTCCATAGTTTTGGTCCGCGGTAAGATATTCCATATTCAAAATACTTACTATTAATTTTTAGTAATTTATAAGTATTACATTGGTTTATTTTAAGAAAATATTTTTTGTTTACATTTTTTGTAAATTTATCATTAAAGTTTTTTGGAATCAAGCTGTTGTTACATTTATGCATAAAAATTAGGTGTTGGTAAATGTTGATTTCATATATATTCATCATTTTCATGTTTTCCATTAATGGTTTTGCATGTTCATATTTTTTTTTATATATATAAGTCTGCTTATATATTATATATAAGTTTTTTTTTTTATATATAAGTCCTTCCCAACCGATGTCGCAAAACTTGGTGGGGTTTGAACCATAGATCTTACATTTCTGAGGCAAGTGCGCTACCACTGCGCCACCGCTGCTTAATTAATTTAAGGCATGTAAAGTGTTATTAAAATAGTTGCTTTTAAGTTTAATTTTTATTTGTAAAAATGTAGCAATATTAGTGCTACAAAAAAACATTGCTAAGTCTTTTTTTTAAAAAAAAGTGAATTATCTGGTTTTGCAAGCCCACTCCTCAAATATTAAACTTGGTTGTTAAGGCGTTTTTCTGCTTAAAAAGAAGCTCAATTTTACTGCAGTCTTCAAGCTTTGCAGGCTTGATGTCACTTCTATGTTTTCTGAATTTAAATTTAGTTACAAATCATTGTTCTTAACCACTAAGTACGTTTCATAACAGTTAACAGATTTGAAAGTTTAGTTTATTTTAGATTTGGGGTAATATCCCCTTTAGAATTGCATTGGGATAATACCCTTTAGATTTGTAGTATGCATATATAGTATACATACATACATATATATATATATATATATATATATATATATATATATATATATATATATATATATATATATATATATATATATATATATATATATATATATATATTAAATAAATAAAAGAAATGCCAAATAAACTGAGTAGTACTAGAAGAAAAAACAGAAAATGGAATCGGTTCAAATCGTCTAAATTTCTCAAATCAAAACCTGCTTATGTGATTTCTTATGCTAGCTTAAAAAAGTTAGATGTATCGTTCAGCTCGGATAAATGTAAATCTGACGACTATTTTATACTTAATACTTTTTATTGTTAAAGAAATTAATTGCACACACTGTTTACTTTAGTTGCTTTATTGGAAATTTGTTCATCAAAGATAATGTTGATTCTTGCATGGGCTTTTGTCATCTATTTGTGATGATTTATACAAAGTGTAACTTTTCTAAAAAATTTTGAAATTAACTAAAGTCAAAGTGGAACTCCAGAGTAACAGTGTTGGTTGGTTAATCCAAGAGTCCAAAAACGAGCAATTAAAAATTGTTTCCCAAAAGGTATTAAATATGAACAAAGGCTAAAAAATATGGAACTTTTTGAATATTATATTTTTCGGACTACGTTAAAGCATAAAGAATTGCATTATTAATTAGATGCCATCTATACTTTCTAAATGGTTTACTCTTTTTACAGGCTCATAGCCAATCTACAAGGTTATCACAAAGAAAGAAGGATGAAGAGTTTCCTACAAAGCAAGTATAATACCGCTCATTTCAATAAATTCTAAAATATATATATATATATATATATATATATATATATATATATATATATATATATATATATATATATATATATATATATATATATAACAAGCAACTCAGTTAAATTTTTTCAAAATTTTGTTTGATTTAGGGGGAGCACAAGACCCTTGTACACTTACCGGGTCCCTAATATTATAAAAAAAAAAAGTTTTTCAAAAGTATATCATGTTGGGTCTCAAAAGAAGAAAATTGTATAAAAATTTCAAAAATGACAATCATTTTATGAAAAAATAATTATTAAAGATTTTTTTGGGAATTATTATCGCAAAAATACACTTCTTTCATTTTTAGTTTTAAAGGCCTTTTTTCTGCAATATACTCTAAAATAATAATTTTTCTAAAATCTAAAATAATAGTTTTAATAAAATGATTATTTTTTTTAAAATTTTTATATAATTTTGCTTCTTTCGAGGCCCAACATGACATACTTTTGAAAAAATTTTTTTTTTTAGAAATATTAGGGACCCAGTAAATGCTCCCCCTAAATCCAATAAAGGTTTGAAAAAATTTAACCAGGTTGCTTGTGAGAACCAATTGAAAGTTATAAAAATATGAATAGATCTTTTTTAGAATATAAGGGGCGGCTGGGACACCCAAATATATATATACATATATATATATATATATATATATATATATATATATATATATATATATATATATATATATATATATATATATATATATATATATATATATACATACAAAAGCCTACTTTGTCAGCTCAAATCCCAAAATAAATCCTTGATGAACTCTAAAATCTTTACTGATTATGTAAGATTTTTGACACAATTTTGAATTCAATTCTGAGAGTGAGAAAGTTCTTCTACGCATAGATAACTGCACCCTCATCCTAATCTTGAAAACCTTAATTGAGTTAATACTTTTACCACCCAACACAACCTCTAAAACTCAATAATAGGACCAGGGAGTCACAAGAGCACCGAAGGCTTTTCATGGCACAAATGTTGTGAGGCGTCAAAAAAACCGATGCTAGTAAAACATCCCCCATAGATCAATATTCTTAAAACTATGAGCATGTTGGTCAGTTCATAGGACACGTCGAAAAGCTAAGATCACATGGTTTATTAGATAAAAAATTAGCTGTTGACGATTTGTTGAGATAGGTGAGTTGTCACAAAATTTGCCTCCTGAAAAGTTAAAACTATTAGAGATCGCACGTGCAATAGAAATACTTGAATGTTTGTCTGTTTTTGACAATAATGGCGTCAAAATTCAACAATCACTAAGCCTCGTATCAAAGATGTTTGATAAACATTCTTTAGAAACAAGAAGAAATCGAAAAATGGACGATTTTTTCCAAAAATTGAAATAATTTATTTTTCAAAAACAAAAAAGTTATAGATAATTTACATATACATAATAATAATAGACAACTTAAGCAGCATCTTATTCCATCTTATTCTATTTTTCTTCCTATTTACTCTCTATTTTTGTTAAAATCGAAATTTAGCAGACGTGGCGCAATAGTTAGGGTGCTTGCCTCAGAAGCAAGCGGTCCAGGGTTCAATGCCAGCTCTAGGCATATTTTCCGCTATTGATAAGAACGAGGCGTGAACTTCTTAATTAAATGCTGACCTTAATGCTCCATAACAAGACTCTTAGGACTTTTTGAGGCACATAAAATAAAAGTTAAAAAAAAATTAATTGTAACTTGAAATAATAACCGGGAGTTTACTGTATTTACAAAAATAATTTACAGAAATAAACATTTTTGAAGTTTGACTGATGAGTTTTATTTAAAATTTTCGTACTCTTACTGTTTGAGTTTGTTTACAACAACTTTAAAATTTTTTTATCAAAAAGGTGAAAGGGCTTAAGCCTCTTAAGCCACCCTTAGCGCCGTCTTTGATAAACAACCCAATGTGGCAATATTTTTGCAAGTAATTACAATATATTATAACAAATATTTCTACTAATGATAGTGTGTCAAACAATCAGGGCTACCGAGAGGGAGAGGCAAAAGGGACATACGTGCCCCGGGCGCCAAGATAATAGAGGCTCAAAAAAAAATTACCATAATAAGACTTTTTTTGAAAAAAAAGTATAAAATTTGAAAAAAGTATAAAAAAATATTAAAGAAGATAATAAGTCTAATTCAAACAAAACATCTTAACATAAATCTTATAAATACTTTTATAACTGTTATATATAACATTTATTTACAATTTTAAAAAGCAAAATTAAAAAAAGCAAACTAAATTAATTAATTTTATTTGCTAAGATTTAAACAACTCCCAAACAAGTGTTAAAATCTGAATGCAAATCAAAAGTCACGCCTACGCTTAAAAAAAAAAAGTCAAAACATAACTACAAGATGGTGTCTATCATCTATACTGTGCAAAGTGATGGAGAGAATCATCTTAGATTGGATTATAAAACACTGTGCACAATCTAAGATCAAAGTCTCAATATAGATTTGTATATATCAAAGATCGCTAACAAACCTGATTAAATCTTGTAACATTTTTACGAAAGCAGTTTACAATGAACACCTAGTTGACATAACTTTAAATGACTTTGCCAAAGCATTCAACACAATGTCACACAACAACTTTTTTATAAAATTGATGCCTATGAAATTTGAGGCCAGCTATTAAACTGTATTTATAGTTGGCAGGCTAATGAAGAACAATAAGTAATAATTAGAAAAACAAACGTCTAAGTGAAAAAGGCTGACGAGTGGCATTCCTTAAGAATCAGTTTTTGCATCACTGCTATTTGTTTTCATCAATGACTTACAAAACTGCATTTATGTATATACCAAATAATACGCAAATAATGGCAAGATCATACGAGTTTTCAATGTTAATGAATTTTCCTCTGATTATGAAAAAATGCATGCGGACATCGACAGCGCTGTAAATTTATTGCACAACTGCCTTATAAATTTCAACATCGAGAAGTGCAAAGTAATGCAAGTTGGTTGTCACAAAAACTAACTAATAATAACATGGTTGACATTGACTGTAACGGATACAGTCTAGTTTTAACATGCATTGACCGTGATCTCGGAGTACTTAAATCTAACAACCTAAAAGTACAAGTAGAAGCAGCAGTTTGGCTTGGCAATTGAATGCTTGGTTGTCTCATGAAGTCATTTCGGTGTCAGAGCTCTCTAGCTATAGAAAAAACTGTACAAGCTGCAAATTAATCCGCATCAAGAGTTTTGCATTTGTAAATTTCTCTACTCAAACGTGTCCAATATCGCGTAATATTGTTTATTAAACATTTTAGTTATTATCAGAAACTAAAAATACACAAAAATATTCTGAATGAACGCAATGATCTTATACTACAATACAAAATTGTTTATCATTTACAATTAAAATTTAGACTTTAAAAATTGTTTCTTTAAGATTCTTATTCTTCTGGTTAAAAGATCAAGAACCGGTAAAAATTGAAGATTTTGAAATAGAAGATAACTTTATGGAATAAAAGACAACTTAATTCGCATCTTAAAAGTTTGAAGGAGCCTTCAGTTTTTAATTATGGAAACACTTCAGGGTTTCTCAACCAATTATACTCATAGGGTCTTTAGCCTATTGTCCAATTTATATGCATTCTAATTCTAATTTAGCTTGTAAAAAAAGAAAAAAAGAGTTTTTTCAATATCAATTTCATAGAGTCTGTTTATTAATCCTAATCAGTGAGTATGTTGCAAAAGTGTTATTAATCCAGATGGATTTCTTGAAAATATGAATGTTAACTAACAGTATTAGAAATAAAAAAACACTCATTAAATTGTATTATTGTACATGCTTTTAATTTAAAACTATGCATGTTGTAGGGGCTATAAAAACTTCATAAAAGCTCTCGGCGACCCTGCAAACAATAGATCAAGTTTGCATGCTGTGAGATTTTCGAGTATTGTAGGACTCACAACGTCAGTATTATTTTTCAGTTCTTGATGCGTATTTAACAGTGCAAATTTTTAATAGCAAGGGTACCAATAGCAATAAAAATTGATTTCTGTTGCTTCATTCTTATTACTTTTATTTTCGAAGAAAAAAAAAAGGAAAAATTTGAAAACGCGGCAGACGCCCATATTTTGGGTTAACGGAGTAGACTAATAATTAATATTATATATATATTAAGAATATTGATATTGATAGGGTTACTAATTAACCGTGTGTGATTCTTGATTGGTATTAAAATAGATACGATGGTATTAAAATGACTGCGGTTTATTACAAGTTACAATATTAGTAAAATTTCAAAATGGCTGCTAAAAGTAAATGAATAAACAAAGCTTATGATACTTTTAATTAATGTCTGATCAAGTTTTATAAAGCTGCCTTTTCTTTAAAAAGATTTTATAATTAATTATAAACCTTTCAATGATGCAGAATGTAAAGACCAAACATATGTTTTTGAAAAGGGCTTTGGAGAAGATACTTGCAGAAAAGGAGCTTAAAAAAGCAAACCATTTGCAATTAAAAAAAGCATGTGAATCAGCATTGGGTTAGACATTTTAGTTATTTTTTTAAAACTAAAATTAATTAAAATACTATCAATCATTTAAAATCTTCGTTTTATTAACTTAGAGTATTGTTCTAATAATTACTATTCCTAACATTGTCATTATTACTGTAATTACACATTATATATAACTTTTATGATGTTCTTATTTTAATTTTTGTAGCACCTAATAATAATTAGCAGGTAAAAGTAATACTGAAAATAAATAGTTCTGTAAAATTTCAGTTAAACTGTCAAATTGTTTTTTATAGAAAAATTTCAAGATTTTTAAAATCTAAAATGTTCTTTTAAATATAAAATAATCTAATATCATATTAGGCTTAAAACTGACACATGGTATCTTAATAGTGTTATTTAGCATTATAAAGTTTGACTCTAAAAATGATGATATATATTTAATAATGATATAAAATGATGATATAATAGACCTTCACCTAATATATATATATTAATCTTTTTTCTTTTTCCCCCAATATGAAAATTACTAAAATGATATGTTAATATTTAAATAATGAGGTTACTAAATAAACCATTTATTTTACTAATTAATTAAACGTTTATTTTTTAATCTAGTAAATTTATAATTAACTGATTAGGATGCTAGTTTACCAATTCACTAATGTAATAATCAGGTTACTAATTGATAGAATGGGTAAATACTTATGAATTGTGATTTTTACTTTGTGTTAAATTGACTTAGATAAAAAAATAAAAAAAGTTAATGGAATCAATAGTTGTACAAGTTTTCTATATCTGTAGTTTTTTGATAAATAATTGATTGTAAGACTTTTAATGATGCAGATTTAAAGACTTAACATACACTTTTCAAAATGGATTTGGAGGATATTTTTACTGAAAAAAAAAAGTTTAAAGTCATATCAGCTATGTATCTATAAAAGAACATAGCAAAGTATTCTTTTGGAGTAAAATTATCTTGGTATATTTTTTTGCTTATTGTGCTCTTGTCAGTGGAGACTTTTTAAACATTAAATAATATTTATTACCTTCAGTACTACTATCTTATAGCCTGATGTCCAAAGGAGTGCCACTACATTGACTGAGGGTGTGGCCTGGGATAGCAATCTTTTCCTTTATTATTTCAATAATGAAAGAAGATTGCTTCCCCATGTCAAACCTTAAGTCGATGTAGCGGCACTTTGATGTGACAGCAGGCTATAAGATAGCTGATATGTACTGTAGCCAATAAATTTTCCTTTGTATTTAAAAAGTGTCCATGGTCAAGCAGGCTTGGACAGGAATGGCATGTGATCGCACTCTGTAGCTGACCACGCTAATAGTTTATTTTCTTTACAACTTGACCATGATTATTTTGATGTTTTAACAATTTAAATGCAACAAAGTGTATTACGTTATGAATAACTTTTAATCTTTGATCTTTTTTAAAGTTTTTATTTTACGCGAAAGCTTTAAAATAAAACCATATATTATTTTTTTAATGATTGTTTACATGAACATGTGAGTAAATTAATAAAAAATGTTATATATAATTTTTTTTTTATGTAGGAATGTATTTTTCATGATAAATTTAAATGTTTGAAACTATTTTCCCATGTCTTCCTAAAAATTTTTTAAAGCATTAACTTTAGAAAGATTTTTTTAACTTATGTATAAGTTTAAAACCTTTTGCGACTACTAGCTTTTACACATTTACATTTAGCTTTTAAATGTGAATTATACAAGAATATAAAATAACTTTATTTATCTATATAAGCATGTATTTTGTAATGTTCATAAGATTAATTTTTATAATTAAACTTACAATTTTTTAAAATCATTTAAACAAACATTTTATTTTTTGAAAAAAATTACGATAGCAATGAATGAGTTAAAATCATTTATAATAATTTTTTAATTCGTTACGTGAAGCGCTTATTAATAAAGTTGTAGTGCTCAAATTGAAATTTAATTAAATTGCTTGTTGGCAGTTTATTTTATTTAAATCACAGGCGCATTTTATTTACTTATTTTTTACTATTTTACAAATAAAAGAGTTAGAAACCTTTTTTTTTTAACTAGACTTACCAATTAAAGCATATAATTATTAAAAATTACTATTTTAAAAAGACTTCGTTTTTTTTTTTTAAACAAATTTTCTTTTGCAACTTTTTTAATAAAATAAATGTTTACTATTTAAAAATACTTAATACAACACTTTTTAATAAATTTGATAAATTTGTTCATTTATTAAACAATCATTAGTAGTAATTTGTTACTTAATTTTAAAGCGTTTTTGCGCAACTTTAATAAAACGTTTAAAAAGATTTATTTCAAATGTAATAAAAAATGTAACAAAAAGTTTCGCTTTGAGTTCAAGTTTTTATTTATTATTTATATTTTAGTGTTTATATAATTTCTTTTTTGCATAGAATTTTTTTTCGTTTCTTTTTTCGTTAAGAATTTTTTTTTCGTTAGTTTTTTTTTAAACTTTTTTCCTAGCGTTTCTACATTCAGCCGATGTTTAAATCATATCATATAAGCAATATAAGTTGAATCAAAACATATAAGCAGTTGTGGTCGAGTTGTCAAGAAATAAAATCATTTGCGTAGTCAGCAATAGTGCTCAATCGCACGCCATTCCTGTCCAAGCCTGGCCAAAGTAATACAAATAATGTCAGATCGCTCTCCAGAATTTTTGAAAATAAGGATAACAGATGCTGCTTTCCAGCAGGCTGGAAACAAGACTGTGATAAACACTTGTTAAA